AAATTTGTGGAATTCCCCATTAAGAGTAGCATGCTTAATATTTCCATTCCATTCTGAGTTCCATTCTGAGAGTTTTTGCTAGCCTGCTGAGAGATGGAAGTGTGTGTGTGTGTGTGTGTGTGTGTGTGTGTGTGTGTGTGTGTGTGTGTGTGTTTAATATTCATTGCATCTCCGCTGCTGTGGAAAGCCTTGAAAAGCAGGTGGAAAATGTGACATTCCCAAACTACATACATTCTCACAAATATGCAGATGAAAGATGGTTCCATAAGAATAATCCAAAAAGATGCACTTTACAAGAAAAAGTAGAACCATTTTAGGGCTCTTCAGCTAGACCCTATTAGGAAACTCTACTTTTGGAATGAGATAGGGCCCTGCTGGAGATAAAAGAATGGTTCTCTCTGATACTGACCAGTTCTTTGACCCTAACCCAAACGCAGGCACTTTTACACAGCAGTTAGATGCATGAAGTGACCAGGTGTAAACAGGGGCTTGTTGTTAAGTTCTTCTTAACTCCTAGAGAGAGTGTTCAGGATGATGCTTGCTCAACCATTTGGGCTAAGATGCTTTCAGAAAACCCTGCCTTGAAAAGCATTCTACCTGTGTCCTGTCTGACTTTCTGTTTTATTTTTCAGTTTAAAGACGTTAAGTTATGAATGCCTTCAAACATGCCCCTTTCCCCTGGGAATGTGAATGTGTGTGTCTTTAACACTTATTTACGGTACACAATTGGACTTTAAGGACTATGTTGTACCTTTGAAAGTGCATTTAAATTGTTTGTACCTTGGGGGACAAAAATGTACTTGTGCAGTAACCTTTTTTCTGACCGTGTACCTTTGTCATTCTGGAGACAAACAACAATGGCAACAACAATAGCCACTTTATTCTAAGCTGCTGCTAACCAACCCTTAACCCCTGAAATAGCCAGAGCCCACTGGCAGGCCCAAAATTTTATTACATACTTCTATAGTATAAGAATAGCTCAGCCAGTTTGCACTGAAGTCACTTTAGTTACTGAATAATAAATCTTAGTATGTAATAAGCCTGGGATTTTAGGAGGTTAATAAATACAGAAATATTACAATGCCATCTGATGTCAAAGTCATCCTTTGCCAGGAGTAGGATGGCTCTTCTTCTCCCCCATCACTCAGCACATTACTAGGTAGCATGTACATCTGTTAGCTAACATAACAGAATTGGCAGTTAGTGTTCTCCTCCAAGCACGCTGAGTCGTCCAGTGGTGTTGTGTTCAGCTTGAAAAGACGCAGTAGTGCTTCATGTGACTTGGAGGAAGCGCCTGCTAGCCTTTACATTCCTATTATTGGTAGTATAGTAACATGGTATAACAGTTGGTTGCATAGGAGCTGCTTAGGGCCATGCAGGGGGCCCCTTAACAACTTCTAGGTTATTACTGTACCAGTATTGACTAAGATGCTTGAGCGAGGGAAAAACAATGTATATGCATCTGGAGCCGAAAAACAGAAAAGAATGTTTTTTTGTGGTAACATTTTACCATTTTGTTCTGGTTTGTAGTTGGACAACAAGAAGTAATGTGTGTAACAAAGCAGGTTCAGCTTCACAAAACACACAGACGTGGTTAACTTGTTTTACAACAGCAATTACAACTTTCTCCATGTTAATCTGGGTTTAGACACTCTGGCTGTGATTAACCCTGTGTTTTTTTGTTACTCAGTGGGTCTGGTATACCCACCGCATTAATGTTTTTTTACAATACAGCCATAACAATTTATGTAAAAATACCATATCACAAGTGGCCAGCGTAGGGTTCTCCTTTAGCAGCTGTAGCCAGTCAGCAGCCTGTCCATGTTGTCCACCCTCACACACACACACACACACATATAAACACATACCCATACAGACACACACACACACTAACAGCAGGCCATGTAGGAGAACAGAGTGAAGGGGCACAGCACCTCCACACTTTTATTCCCCACAGGTTCACCCCAACACCACATGTGTAATATAAATGTGTAGGGGGTGAACAGTGTGAAGTCACTGAAAATGTGTTATTTTATACGTTCTTCACAGAAAATGAGCAAAGGCCAAGGAATCTCTGGTAAACATTGAAAAAGGGTCCCACAGACCCAAACACCACACAAGGGTTAATCCTCATAGGCATGCACATGAAAGTGTGACGTTTACGACAAACAGCCAAATGTATGAAACATTAAGAGTCACCAAAGAAGGATAACAAAATCACACTACCTAAATATGTAAAAAGTTAAAGAATTTATTACAGTAAAAGAAACAGCAACAGGGTTAACTAAGCTCAAAGTTAGCTGGGTATTTAAAAAATACTGCGTGGTGAGACAGAGCCTTGAGTCAAGTATTAATAATAAATAATAAATTAACTTATTAGAACCCCAAACAAGCATCCAATCATCAGCAATGCATAAATTATCCAGCTATCAATCTATACAATTTAGACAGCTTCTGGTAGTCATTGTTATTAGTTAGCGTCTAATTTTACACTACATCAGCTGGCAGGGCTGTCCACTGTATGAGCAGGGCTGTACCATTTGCAGTGGGGGCTGCTGGTTTAACCTATAAATTACTACAGATGTACACTTGGATGTAACATTTATAGTTTGTCTGAGCACTACTGGCCCACCGAGAATTTCCCCGACTCTGCTGATTACCCACTCCAGCATTGCTGCTCAGGGTCCCCAAAAGGCTAGAGCCAGCGCTGTGTAGGAGATGTAGGTAGTGGGTGGAACTGACTAAAATGGGGGAGAACGTTAAAAATGCCAAAAAAGAAACATAGAAGCCATTAAGTGTTCCTGTTGTTTTCCAGTGGTTTTGGCTTTTTTGATGGGTTGATATCACAGTGTAAAGGATCCTAATGATCCTAATGAGCTGCTGTGCTCAAATGATGTAGAAAAGTGAAAATCGCAAAAAATGGAGATGTTTTTCTTTGGGCAGTGACGATATCTGAAACAATTTTAGGGGCTTGTTTGTTTGACTATTTTCTTTCTTGGCATGATGTTATTCATGATAGCACACCCTTCAAATATTCTATTGCTTAAATAGATTGACTGCTTGGGGATACAATGATCACTCTGGAATGAATTATGAACAGATAAATTAAAATCAGAATGCCATTGCTTTTGTTACCAGTGAATTGTAAGAAACATCGCATTCCCTATGACAACTCAGATGTAGCACGGTGTGGACTCCAGTGCACGTCTCCGTTTGGCAGTGAACGTTCCAAACGTCTCTGTAAATGCTGACAGAATGATGAAGGACTCTCAGGCTCTGCGAGGGCCACAGGTCACCTGATTCCATTGGCTCATTACTGATGGAAGTAAACGTTTTGATTGGTTATTGACTTGGCGGGGATGAAAAATAGGCCCTGTCATTGGATACTGAATATTGGAAGGAGGGTTTTTGAGGCATTTAGTCTAGTCTTAAGCCCGATTTAGATGGTATTCGTTTTCCATGAGGAGGTGGGGTAACGTCAGTTTACCACAAGACGTCTTTACTGTTTATGAGCAATTCGCACAGGATAAGAAATCTTGGTCTGAATGACAGAACGGAGTGGCTATTCCATTTACGCTCCGCCTTTATTCCAGAAAAGTGTAGAAAAGATGTTAAAACATTTCATTTAGCTGTTACATTTTTACCCTAACTTTTTGCTCTCCTGTCTTATGTGAATGCAGGGCATCATTAGCATCACTATGTGCTTGGGAATTCATAGCAAACAGTCAACTTAAGCGCATAAAATCAAACTTTTTCAGTCATTTTTACATGTTCTGAGTTAAATGTGAGACAAGACTGTAACGTTACATATCAGCCACAATGAGGCTGAATTTGGTTTACTATTTGTCAGCTTCTTGTTCGAATTTTTCCTGTTCCACCTTAAATGGTCTAGCAGTTACATGCTGGCACCTCAGGCATTATAATAATAACTGCTGCACCATTTAAGGTGGAACGAGAACATTCAAACAAGAAGCTCATGGAGCGCCGTGACCCGCTCTGTTTAATACAAATTAAAGAAAAAAATTTAAATGAAAGAAAAAGGCAAGAAAAAATCATTTGCATGACGTCGCCACCCACGTCACGGCTATACTGCTTAAAATTTCAGCACCCCCAAATTAAAACACTTTCCCGCCTCCCTGGATTTTAACTAGACCCCCGGGGCCCGCGACCACACGTAGCCCCAGACCCCGCAGGCAGATTATACCACTTTTGCCGTCTACATCAAATACATGAGTTATTAATGACAAAGCTCTTCTTCTTTCTCACCTGTTATGAAACTCTGATAGAAATGCCCCTCTCAGAGAGCATCACAGGGTCTCGACTGCAGCGCGTTCACGATCAACGTCTGTCGGCGTGGGCGCGTAGCGCGCGTGCCCGAGATTACGGTACGTGACACTCATTTTAATGTCAGCGTGTCATCGTGACTCCTCTGTACGGACTCATTAACTCCAGCCTCCGCTTCTCATGTCCGCTCAGAGGGGAGAACCAGCCCCGAGTCCGCTGCTCAACCAACGACGAGCAGACACTCGTGTTTGTGCTAACTTGTGGTTCATCAGCTTAACGGCGGTGTGACGGTCTGAGGCGAGGATGGTGTTGATGTGGTGGGAGAGTTAAGTGAGTTTTTCAGATTCCCGGCGTGGTGGGACACCTGAGTGAGCGTGTGTGTGTGTGTGTGTGTGTGTGAGAGAGAGAGAGAGAGAGAGAGAGAGAGAGACAGCTGCACACTAACTCGAACAAGCCTCCTAAACACCGAGGCGCGCTTGAGGTAATTTACAGCAGTGACCCATCCGCGAGCTCGCGAGCTACACATATCAACAGCGTTATTTTTTTCCCACCCGTATTCCGGAAAGCCCCGCCTCTGCATTGTGATTGGCTAGTAGTTCAAAGCTGTCAAGACAGTAGGAAGTACTGGCCAAGCCTAGCGACTCGTTTCAGCCAATCCCAGCCTAGGGGGCGTGGCCTGTCGCAATACGGGCGGGAAGAAACCGGCCGCCCTTTAGTACGAAGCCAGCAGCATCCTGTCAGCGGGAGCAGAGAGATGAGAAAGAGAGAGAGAGAGAGAGAGAGAGGAGTGGAGCTCGACTGAGGAAGACACTTCCACATCTCTCCGACCTGTTTGAGCGGCTTTTTCTGTTTTTGCCTCTGTGAGTTCGCACAGAAGGACGTGTCACTGCGTTTGCGCGCTGCTGGAAAACTCTGAGTGTCGGATGTGGAGTAGCTGTTCTGTGGTTCTGTCTGTGAGGGCTCGAGACGGATTTCTCTCAGCGGACACCTTTCCTTCACCTGGACTTCAAGACGTGAAATGATCCGGAGAGATCTTTCCAGGCTGCCCTTTTCCACAGTCTGACTGATTTTAGTGCGTTTTTCTTTAGGATAGTTCGCTTTTCCGCCACAGTTTTGAGGATGTATGTGGCGCTGCTGCTCGCCTCCATAGCGGGACTCTCTACAGTTTCAGCTCTGACTCAGATGGGTGAGTTTGGTGCTGCTTTAAGAACTGAGGTGCTCCTGTCTTTAATTCTTAGATACGCTGCAGAAGCGTTTCGTATACAGCGTTCAATAGCAAATATGAGTAATATTAGGAGAAATAAATAGCTCAGTGAAGTGTGTGAGTGTGGAAAAAGGAGAGAGGATATGTGTGGCCGTGCATTTCATTCTTCGTGGGGACCTAAATTGTCCATATCCCCAGCAAAACATGGACATTCTCCCAGACATTTTGAGGACATTTGACTGCTCCTCATGAGGAAAAATGCTTTTTTTATTGTTATTTTTTGTACTTTAAACAAGTAAAAATATTTCTGTTTGGTTACTGTGGTAATGGTTACACTCTGTATAGTGCTAAAAGACAGGTTCTCTGACTTATAACCATAAGAGAACCTATTTAGTTGCTAGATGCAAACCATTTTTAAAGGCATCTTTAAAGAACCACGTGCGAAACAGGTTTTCCATCATATATAAGAACCATTTAACCATGCAAAGAACCATTTATGCATTCAAATAGTTCTGTGAGTGTTCACAGTTCTGTATATAACAATTGCCTTTACTAAAGAACCCTTGAAGAACCGTTTTCCTAGGGGTGCAGGGTTGGGTTTAGCTTTAGGTGTAGTCAAAGCTGTATTTGGCTACAGTAATACAGAAGTCAGTGGAAATACCCAGCAAAGGTAGGAATACAAACTTGTGTGTGTGCGTGCATGAGTGTGTGTGTGTGTGTGTGTGTGTGTGTGTGTGTTGGGGGGATATGCGTGCGTGCCTCTGAGAGCAGATCAAGGCTATTTTGAGCATTTCTTCAACGCCCCGGACACTCTTATTAAGGTCAAACAGGCAGACCCGAGGCCAAAGCCCTCAGCAGTTGGTTCTTGAATGCTGCTTTCTGCTGGCAGCAGACGATGTTCCACTAGCCAGCGGAACCCAGACTGGCGCACGGACCCCACTGACCCGTCCTACATCCGTCCACTTTCTGCGCTCTCTGAGAATCAGATGGGGAGTATTGATTATTCTGCCATCAGCGTCTATTCCTGACTGCTCCCAACAGTGTCACAGTGATCAGAGCGTTTCTACTGCAGTACAATGCAATGCATGGCCAGGTTAAGCCTGATGACCATTTACAACTGATGTCTTTCCTGCTTTCTGAATTGTAGGTGGTTCCTGTGGAGGAAACATCACCATCTTGAGTGCAGGCTATGTGACATCTCCCGGTTACCCGTCCTCGTACCCGCTCTCTGAGCAGTGTGTGTGGCTCATCCGTGCGCCAGACCCACAGCAGAAGATCCTCATCAACTTCAACCCACATTTTGACCTGGAGAACCGCGAGTGCAAGTGAGTTTGACACTGTTTTCTCTCCAGGGCAGCTTGCAGCATTCCAGCTATACTCCTCTTTAGTCTGGGTTCCAGAGCTTTGGCATGCAGTGGTTCCCTGCATGTTTTGGTGTTCTCCCTTCTCTAACACACCCACTTCAACTCAAGGCTTATTAACGAGCTGAGTAGTTGGATTAGGTGTGTTAGAGCAGAGAAAATACTAAAACATGCAGAGCAGGACGTCTCCAGGACCAGGGCTGGAAACCTCTCGCATCCTGCAGGGCGATAGATCTCCAGCAGCAGAGTCAGTAACCACTGGCCTAATTACATGAGCGGTCACACTCGTATTGGCATGTTGAACGATGCCACCTTATGGTGGGAAATATAATAATTCAGAGTTTTCAGCGCAGACTCTGATGAATGAAGTGAGAGGAGCACCAGGCTGAGTCTGTGTTATTGTGGAAGAAGCCCTGGAATCCTATGGAAGAGTTAAAGTCTCTAAAGCAGAGTCCAAAATCTATTTCATAGAATGCTTGAAAGGAAACAAAGTGTTTTCCTCCAGGATGACGGTATCTTTAGACATAGAGTGGCAGCTCAGGGTGAAGTTAGATGCTAAGCAGAATCTTAAGAGCAGTGAATTTCCCTTGACAGGCTCCTGACAGGTCTAATGGAAAGCGATGGTGTTGTTTTGCGTAATTATGCTGATGGTTTTCACTACTGGGGGGTGTTTGGAGCATTTAGTGTAATAAGAATTGAAAGCAGAGCATGTTATTGCCCTGTGGTCTATTAGTGATAACCACCTTAACAACCCCATCGAGTGCACCCTCTCAAACACACACTAACCCACTCTCACTTGTAGGTATGTACACACACACACACACACACACACACACACAACCTTGCCCGGTCCTCTGCACACTCTCACACTGTGTCTCATACACACAAACACAGGACAATGTGTGGACTAAATCTAGTAAATGAGATGGGTCTTTTTAAATGCCTCGTAAAAGGTGCGTAAATCAGCAGCTGTCTCACACACACAGGCTGCATTACTATTGGCTCGGGTTTCATCAGCAGGGGACCAATAAAATGCCCCAAGTAATGAATGTCTTGTTGGGGACTCCTTAGAGAGGAAAAGGAGAGGAAAAAGAGAGAGAAAAAGAGAGAGAAACTGACAAATCACCGTCCTCTTTCTTCTCTGCCTTTCCCTTTTTCCATCTTCTCTTTCAGTGAATCTGAGCTATTTTGTGGGAGAGAAGAGGGAGTTCTTGTACTTTTTTTTTTAAACAGGGATTCATGTAACATCAGCTAAAACATTCCTTCCACTTCTCCTGTTACAGTCTAGTTCATTTTCTTTGCAAAGTTCAACAATTCACATTTTAAAACCAGTTGTTTCATGTGTGTGAAGTTTCCAAAGAGCAATGTCACGTAAGTGCTGGCTGATACATTGTCGATAGTGCCAATTCTGCCATCAGCGCCGATTTTCCAACTAATTTTGATATTTGAGTGTCTGTAAGGGTTAGTGAAAGGGTAAACGGTTAACCATGAGGAAGAAAAAACAACACAAAAAGAGATTGTGGATGACATGTAGCGGTGTAGTCACAGCGGCAGTACATTCGCATTTAGACATTCGCAACATTTTACAGTCCTGTTAAAACAGAAAAATGACGTTTTCATGAATTTCACAGTCGATCTTTCGATATTTTCGAAAAATGAGTTTTACTGAATTTTCACAGTCGATATTTTTTCTGTCTTCCTGTGATGAAACATAGCAAATACCCAAAATTAGTGATGCCAGTATTTGAATACTGGCACATCGATTGGTTATTTGAGTACTTGAGTACCTGCTCACATTTCTAGCCAATACTGGCATTGGTGTCTGACAGCCCTACTGATTTATGGTTTTAGCAGCACTGATAGATAAAATAGCTTAACTGCAATACACAGTCTCCCTTTCAGGGTACAATTGCTGTCACTGTGGTGGAACCCCCAAGGGGTTTAGTACCTCTGGTTAGGGAACATAATTGCACCATATTCTATTGCAGTTATATTTCATTCATTCATCATCTAAGCCACTTGTCCTTCTGGTTTGGGGGTGGTGGAGCCTACCCCAGCGCTCATTTGGGTAGAAGGCAGGAAAAACCCTGGACAGGTCGCCAGCCCAGGGCAGAGACACAGACATACACAGTCACACACACACTCATACCTGGGGACAATTTAGTCACTCCAATTGGCCTCACTGTGTGTCTTTGGACTGTGGGAGGAAACTGGAGCACTCGAAGGAAACCCACACAGACACAGGGAGAACATCATTTCAAAAAAGGTGTGAAAATGCCAAATCTTGGCAAAGTCAATGCAGTGAACCTAAAAAAGTCATTTAAGGTGCACAGTTTAGCTTTAAGGACCATGTTGTTCTGTTGAGGGTACTTTGACATTGCTTGTACCTTGGGTGCTCTTTTTTCTGACCGTGTATGTCATTTACTGGGTGCTTCAAATTGATCAAGAAGCATGGATTCATTAACTTCATTAATGCAAACCTAAATATCTGACACCATGATACATTTGGAAACTATTGTGATATTGAATTTTATCAGTATCTCCCAGCACTAGCTCATGTGCTACACTTGGAATAGCTCTGACTACTATATTGAGTCTAGTCTTCGTTAGCTTAGCCTGTCAGCTCTGGTCTATTCTCTGGGGTTTATCAGGACACAGCAGGAGCAGCTTGGAGTGTGTCATAGGGCCTGGAAGTGAGAGAAAACTTTGTGACGGCCTCAGATTTTCAACTCACAGCCTGTCTTTTGTCGGTTTGGTTGTGTTTACACGAGCTTTGTTGCATATAAATATTTACAGTCATGCTGAAGACATGTTGCCAATAAATACTTCAAGGGTACAGAAAAACCTTCTTACTCATTCATGGGATAGTACGCGCAGGTTTTTAGGCTCCATTGTCTTTAAACAATTAAAGCATAAATCAAGCAATTATGAATTTGAAAACAGGAAAGGTGCAACTTCTCCCCATCCTTCAGATTTATGAAACTAAGTTGATTTATAGAAAATGAATTGGCAGGAACAGAACTATTATGTCTCTTAGAATAATTGTGAATCCTTTAAATGAGCAGTCTGAATGAACAGTTCTTATACAGGGGTAATTTCCAGTTCATCAGAGTACTTTACTGGGCAGTATCATGCGTAGTCTCTATTAATTAGAAAAGGACAAGGCTGCAGAGTAAAAGCTGTCTAGTGCTCTGTAGTGACAATATGTTTATGTGTGATTATTGAATTATGAATTAAGTCACAACCCGCTGTTCTTAGTATATCATGACAATTCTCAGTACTTCTATTTTAGACTACGGAGATATAGACCAATTATAGAGCCTGTAAACAACAACAACCAGTGCACAGTAACTGCATAAACTGTGTACTAACTAGTAGAAATATAGAAATATTAAATATTGAGATGCACACTGTGTATCATGATAAGATCACAAGTATTGTGATGCTATATTATTGCCATATCACCCACCCTTACACCCTGTGCTGTCTACTATAACTTAACTTATTTATTTCATTTACTAGTTCAAGAGTTGATTCAGGAGTGTTAGACATGGGCAGACACTAACGTGACAGTGCTGTGGTTCTCCTGAAGTGTGACACTCATGTTTAAACTGTTTTAAATGCTTTTTCTGGTTCATTTGTTTGATATCTGCTGTCCATTTGTTAGAAGTAGCCTTCCATTAGTCCTGCTTATGGAACACATATGCCATGTTAAATTCTCATGCTGTTTGGCAACGTTTGCTGTCTGTTGTAAAAAATAAAGAAGTCTGTGCTTGTTTTGCAATCCCGTCTGTAAGTGTTGCCACGCAGGGTAAGCCCAGACTTTAGTCCACTAGCTGGAGAATCCCGCCGCAAGGGTTTAGAATGACCCGCACGCTAACCTGCACCAGATGGCTCTCACTGTTGTTTTTGGAGAGCAGTCAGAAGGCTAGCCTTGCTGTGTTAGCTACCATGTTAAACTAACAGCAGGCCAGAATATCACCTCAAAACCACAAAAACACATTTCTCAGAAAGCCTGTTAAACTCTCAGTAAAGCAAACCCTGATCGCCCGTTTCTAATGTGTTCTACAGTTTCTTATATAACTGAAGATCAGCAGTTTAAAGAATGTTTTTCTAGCCTGGGGAGTTGATGTTTAAATTAGTGGGAGGTATGACTTCAAACCAAGTCCTGGTCCTTGTACCTGTGTTACATGTTTTGTGTGACTATAAGGATATTTTCTAGGGAATAAGGACTAAAAAACACTGAACCCAGTATGCCATATCTTACAACCTGATGGCTTCATTAGAAGAAAGATTGCCAGTATACTTGTACAGTCACTGTGAGTCAATCCCAGAAAGAGTCAATTTTCAGCTTCCAGGCATTTGGGACACTACACTGTGACATTTAAGTTTGCTTGCATCCATGCACACAGAGGGTGTGAGATCATTCTGCTGTCAGTATCTACACAGCCTGTCTGAAAAATGTATCCTTCCACAGCACACATTAATAGATTGGCTATATTTTACTTTGGACCCGAGTGTAAAACAAAAGTGGAAAAAGTTCCTTGCACTCCATATGTCTGTATGTCTATGGCAAGGGTTCAGAATTCCAGTCCTGGCAACTCCACACTAAGCACATTTTTGTGCTTTTGTGCTCATCCAACACACCTGTTTCCACTCATTAATTAATTAACAGGGTCATCATGTGCTGAGTCAGATGTGCTGAGTAAGGAAAACAAAAAAATGTGCAGAGCATAGGACTGGGAATGGGAACCCCTGCTCTACGGTAAAAACAAAATGCTTCACTTTACTGGTCATACTGCATCGCTTTTGTGCAGTAGCAGCCATGTACACTCAAGCGGCGGATTTTGCTGGTTCTCATGGGCAGTTTCCACTGGGATTGTGAACAAATTACACTCCATGGTTTTCACTCACTAAATCTGAAAACTCAAGATTGTCAAAAAAAATTAAGCATTATTTAAGCC